GTATTGCTGCGAGTTTTCCGCAATACTTTCCCCGACCTGGTGTTGCTGCGAGTTTTCCGCAACACTCTCCCGACCTAGTATTGCTGCGAGTTTTCCGCAATACTTTCCCCGACCTGGTGTTGCTGCGAGTTTTCCGCAACATCTTCCCGACCTGGTGCTATCGCGAGTTTTCCGTAGCACTTCATCCAGACCAATTATTCCCTTATGAATAATCATATCAATTACATCCGAAGTACGAGTCCCACAAGATTGCACTAGGCCAGACGTTTTCCGATTATATATTTAAATAAAGATTTTTTTTTTTCCCCTCCGTAAACCCCTATGTTGATTTTTTTTTTATTATTAATAAACTTTGATTTTATTTCTTAAATTTACGAACCGCATGTTTTTATTTTTTTTTACCCTCTCTCAAACACCCTGAATCTCCGACTGTAACCCCCAAAAGCTACTTGGAGGCGAAAGAGTTCCTTAACTCTCTAAACATAAGGTGGCGCCCGAGACCGATAACATCCCGAACATAAAAAAGAGGCACCAAGACCCCTTTCCTAGGACCGAACCAGGAAAGGACGTCGCAAACTTTATTCAATAACGTAATTGGTATGCTGACCACACCAGTAACTTCACACTTTTCACCATTAGCCACGGTACACGCAAAACTACACTTATTAACAACTAAATTCAAACTTTTCACTATCGCGATACCTGCACTTCCCAAAATTGTGTTTGTCGCTCCCGAATCCAAGAGTCCGACTAACCTTCTTCCCAAAATATCTACTTCGATGTACGGTCTCTCATCATTTCTGACAGAGGTAAATATATAATCCAAAATAACTTCAACCGCTTTACTTCTAGATTCTTGACACGGACGACGGTCTACCGACGTGCCCTGGAATCGTTTCCCTGACAGCGAGAACAGTTATATCTAGTTACACCTGGTTTTCCACAACCGTAGCACCTTTTCTTCGGTGGACTGCGGCAATCTCTTGAGAGATGTCCCGTCTTACCACAGTTCCAACATTCTTTGATACAACTTTTATTATTTTCCGGCACAGCAGAGGAATCTTCTATTCCACTAGGGCCAACAAATGCCAAATCAGGCTCAAGTGCTTCACAGCGTTTCGGGGGTGGTACGTATTTTTCTGCAGTGACTCTCGTAGCTTCAATTTTTCTGCCCAACTGCAAAAGTTGCTCGATCGATCCAATTTCTATCAATGTCAATTGTCGTTGAATCGATGGTAACAAGTTCTTCAGAAGGATTTTCAGCTGTAACGCTTCAGGAATCCTTACGTTTAATCTTCCAAAAAGATTTTTCATAGTGGCTATGTAAATTCCAATGGATTCTGACGACGCTTGCGTTCGTTTCTTAATTTCTTCGAGCAGTCTGTCGTCATAATCCGCGGGTTGAAATTCCTGACGCAATCTCTCTACTAACTCTTCCCAATCAACAAAGCTTCCCCTATTCGCTCGGTACCATATTAATGCCTTTCCGACGAATAAGTCTATTAGTAGATAATAAATGAGAGTTCTGGAGCGGAAGTCAATCCCCCATCCCCCTAATCCCCCATGACGTCACTTCCGGTGTCATCCCACTTCCGGTGTCATCCCACTTCCGGTATCTTGTCACTTCCGGTATCTTGTCACTTCCGGTGTCATCTTCAACCCCATGTGAGTGCCCTTTTGGCCCTTCAACCC